AACAATATAGAGTTATCAGTGAAAGTTGCTAGAGTTAAACAATATAGAGTTATCAGTGAAAGTTGCTAGAGTTAAACAATATAGAGTTATCAGTGAAAGTTGCTAGAGTTAAACAATATAGAGTTATCAATGAAAGTTGTTAGAGTTAAACAATATAGAGTTATCAGTGAAAGTTGTTAGAGTTAAACAGTATAGAGTTATCAGTGAAAGTTGCTAGAGTTAAATATTGTTGGTTATGTTGTGTTATTTATTATTGTGTTGAATGTTTGTGAGAGCATTTAAGATTGGATCTCCAATTAAAAACAGTTTTGAATCGTATATTTCATGACATTTTTTGAATGTGTCCTTGAAAAAAAAACCTTGACATTGTAAGAAACATGATTTAAAATATACTTTCTTTTGTTTTGTTAAGGTATTCAAGTCGAGCCCTATCTGAAAGCTCTACACATAACCTTGGCGTATCAGTTCCAACAGGATCACTACAAGGAATTAGAAGAGCTCACACGTACTATTGACACTAGTGCCTCTGTAGTGTGGGAGCTACGACTTTATTCACGAGACACTAGAATAAAAGGAAATGAGGTCAGCAATGTTACCTACTTGAATTTCTTGTGCAGAACCCATTTTATCCATTAATTAATTAGTACATTTTCCAGCAGATACTTTAAAGATATTGTATTAAACACTTTAGTAACAACTTGTGAAAGCCTTTAACAGCTTTATACATGTAAAAAATATATAATAGCTTATCTAATATTGAAAAGGTTATTTATTCCCCTGTGGGTAAATGTAAAACATCTGATTTTATGTTAATATATTAGACACCTGTTGAATATGATTAAAATTGTTATTTGATTGTAGAAATGGTTTTATCACATTTTCTTAAAGGAATTCAGATCTGTATTGTATTTAGCAGAAGTCATTGTTAAATATACATATTTGTTTACTACAATAAATCACCAGGTGGAATTCAACTGAAAAAAGGCATTCTTAACAATGATGTGTGTTAAATATACAGTACAGATTACAACAACTCACCAGGTGGAATTCATATCTGTACTGTATATTTAACACACATCATTGTTAAGAATGTTTTTGTTCTGCACAATAACTCAACAGGTGGAATTTAATTATATATTGTATATTTTATCAAGTCATTGTTAAGAATGTTCTTTGTTTAATACAACAATTCACCAGGTAAACTTCAAAATGAACTGCTGACAATATGTGGTGCTGAAACCAGTATTTAAGATCCAAAATCTCTAAAGGATTGAACAAAAGAATTGTGACTTTACTTTTTTTGATTCACGTATGTGAAAATATAATTGAATTATAAAAAAAATGATGCTTTATTATAGTGCAAGATAATAAAATTCATATTTTTTAAAACTTGTCACATAATTATGAATCTGTGATCTTGGAGTTATTTGTTTTTATGTATTTCTGTTAGAGAATTTTGTATTAAAGCAAACAAGTTAAAAGTTTGTCACGTGAAAGAAACATTAAGTTCCATTTAACATTTGGGTAATAAGATTTATGTTGTATAATGCTGATGGTATATTTGTTGTAATTTTATGTACAACCATAGGTTCACAGGGTACTGTACTCCCACTCTCCAGTTGAACCTGATGAGCTGGAGCTACATGCAGGTGACTTTGTATACGTAAATGGAGACCAACTAAATAACACTCTAGATGGTTGGGTAGAAGGAACATCATGGTTAACTGGTTGTTCTGGAGTTCTTCCAAAGAACCATATAGAAAGAGCAGCTGAATCTGATGCTTGGACATTGCATAGGTAAGATAGTAATATTTGTACAAAAACATACATGATATCTTGAAGAAGTATTTTGTTGTCTCCGTTGTAAATGAGAAGTTAAAAGCCTTGCTGCTATATTTTATACAGTGTATTACACAAAGACATTGATCATTACAAGTTTTTTTATCTCTACAGAGTATGCAAAAAAATGATTATGATTAATTATTTAAAATATTTTCTTGAGAGGAGAAATGATTACTTTTTTACATAAATGAACAAATCACCTTCAACAGCATGTTAGAACTTTTTCATACAACAGGAATTAAGTTTTCACAAGTCAATGCTGAAGGGTTGCAATGTTTTGTTTCTTTCATGATTCGTTTTATTTATTTTATTCCCTAATTGCCCCCCAGTGGCACAGCGGTATGTCTGCGGACTTACAACGCTAGAAACCGATAGCCCATTGTGTAGCTTTGTGCATAACTACAAACAACAGTATTCTCTAATTTTCTCTCAAGGGTCTTTATTATTACTATCATATTTCACTACTTCACTTTTCTGTTGATTTAATTTATAATATTTCATTCATACTTTTTATTTGTATATTATGTTATCATTCATCTCACTGTGTACTTTTGCAAATCATTGATGATGGAATTCATAGGTTCCAAAATATTTCAAGATGGTTGGTGCAACTGTCACCACATGATGCTGTTTTACAATTGGGAACAGAACTTAAAAAATTTTTTTTCAATATGTGAAGGCTTTATAAATATAAATATATATATACTGAGATCAAAATTGCTCATACTTGCACATATTTTATTGCATACATGCTGTAATTTCATTCCCTCGGGATATAAGGCATTTAAGTTGATTTGGGATATTTTTATCAGTTACATAATATATTGGTTTCAATTTGTAGATCGGTACCAGTATTAAGAAACATTCAACTGGATGAACTTGATGATAGTTACATCACTCGAAGGCTTCCTATTCCATTTTTAAATGAATCACCTTCCCCCAGGATTTCTAGCCAGGAAAAAGGTGACTCCCAACCTGATAGTCTTGCTTGTTCTCATAACCAGAGGGAATCTCTGTATGAAAATGTAGACGTGCGTTCTCCAAAAGTAAGATTTTAAGTGTTTTTCAGGACACATGGACTTAGATATCTATAATATTTTTGACATAATATTCTTTTTTCATGTTCCAAAAAAGTGAATTGAAAGATTTTCTTTAATAAGTCAAGGGTTAATCGTAGTATATATTAAAATCTGTGACAGTGGATTCAACACTACTCATTCACATACCAGGGCAGCTTTTAAATAGTTGACTATTCTTCTTCAGGGGAGTAAAGGGTGCAGGGAATAGTTAGCCTTTAGGGTTGAAAGAACTCAAGAAGAAACTGGATCAGTATTTTTGAGATGAGGGTTGGATATAAAAAAAGGATGTCTTTACGTAGATTGTAGTAAGGTGTTTGTAGAAAATGGGATAACCTAGATGTGCCAGATATCTCCATGTTATCGCTTTGAGTAATGTATACACTTAACTTCAGATATTTTATTATAAATAAGCTACAGCATTTGTATTAGAAATGTTAGGTTATTTCTAAAGCTTTATCAATCACAAGTGTTTACAGACACAGAAAACAAAAAAAGAGCTCTCTGATGAAGGAAAGTCCACTTTCAGAAAGCACTCAGATTACTGGGTTTCTTTAATTCCACAAGCTTTTGAATATCATAAGGTTTAATTAACTCTTGCAAAGTGCACTCACATATGCAAGTCTTTGTTGATATCAAAGAACTATATCATTTAAAAAATACATAAAGTTGAATGTACATTTGGCAATAAGTTATACTTTTAGTGACTATGTTGTCATTATCCTTACTGATTAATAATTATAGACAGACATAATGTCAACATTACTGGATGTTTAACTTAAATACTAACATTATTGATTTTCAACTAATATTATCAATTTCGATGACGAGGAACTCGCTTTGAGACTAATAATGGCTGGAGACGGTTTGAATGGGTAATGAAGAAAACTTTAATATACGTTTAACAAAACAGCAAATGTACAACGTACATCAAGGAATCCATCTTAATTAAACAAAACAACCCTACTCTAAACCAACACCCCGAGGGCCTAGATACCTCTTCTAAGTTTCACAACAGTTCCGGTCATGTGACTTCTTTGTTCAATACTGTATATATATCCGTGTCAGTGTAAATTACTT